GCTGGTGAAGAAGAGCATGTACCCAAGGTGCCAGTGGGCGTGACCCCAGAAAGCTGTGTGTCTGCAATCTAAAACAGAGAATGTTAGTGTGTTTTCATGCACCAAAAGTCACCACGGGAGAACTGCAGATCACGTATGCTAATATGAAAAGGTAGAAGATAAGTCGTTAGTGAAAAAGAGAAGAAAAAGTTATTTTCAAAAAAGTATTTTCCCTAGGAACCCACTTTTAAGGAATAGATACATGCACATGCATGTAAATATGTGGGTTGGTATTTCAATGAATATAATTGCCTATATTTATAGAGACAGTTTCTGGACATGTATAAAGAGAACGAATCTGGGAGTGGGTCTATGAGGAAGGCATTTATTTTTTTAAATTGTATCCACCTAGTGTCTATGTTTTTTACAGTGAGCACATATGACTTTCATGTTTTTTTTTTTTTTAAGGAAAAAACTTAGGCATTTTAATAATAAGACTAAGCAGTGTAGCCTCTCTTTGGAGAGGCGATGCGGGAGATTGTTGGCTGTGAAGCACATTCAGGATGTCCGGGTGTGACAAGCATAAAGGTGTGTAAGATATTTGGCAGAGGGTCTGAGACTTGTTTCTGTAGAAACATGGCTAAGTCTTCTCGCAGGCCACCTGGTGTTACCCCTGTCATACCTGGAGCCCTCTGGTATCGATCTGCACAATTCAGAGAGTTCCGTGCTTAGCCAGCTTCTACTGGATGAAGGAAGAGGTCTGGTTGATTACTTCTACCTCCACTTCCCTGTATATCCGGGTGTTTAATCCAGATAACATATTTGATATACTAACAAAGAGAATAAAAGATACTCCTCAGAAGAAAATCTTTGCAACTTTGGAGAGTAGGCCAAGGTTTCTTAAAACATAAAAACCATCAAGTTATTTAAAAATTGATAAATTGGACTTCATAGTAATTTATAACTTCTTCTTGAAAGACATAATTAAGAAACTGAATAAACAAGACATGGACTGAGAAAAACCATTTCACAAACACAAAGAACTTTTACCTGGAATGTTCAAAGAAACCTTATAGTAGTAAGAAGTTGAACAACTCAATTTAAAAAATGGACACAAACTTGAACAGGCTTTTCTCAAAAGAAAGATGCACAGATGACCAGCCACTAAGCACCCAGAGAGATGCTCGGCATTGTCATTGGGGAAATGCGAGTTAAAGCCGCAGTGAAATACCACTATACATCTACTAGAATGGCTAAAATTGAAAAGATCGACAATTTCAAGTGTTGTCAAAAATGTAGAGCCACTGGAACTCATGCATGGCACAGCCTCTTAGGGAAAGAGTTTGTCAGTGGCCTGGGACAGCGATTTTCAACCTTTTCATCTCATTGCACACAAAAACTAATACTGAAATTCTTTGGCACACTAAAAATATATATTTTTTGCCAATCTGACCAAAAATAGGTATAATTTTTATTGATTTACAAAAATAATAATAATAATTACCTACTCGTTTTGTTCCAAAGTGACTTTTTAAAAAATATGTATTTATTTATTTTTTAGAAAGAGAAGGGGGGAGGGGAAGAAGGGAGAGAGAATCAGCAGTGTGAGAGAGAAACATCTATCAGTTGCTTCCCGGGTGCACCTGGACCAGGGACCGAAACTGCAACCCGGACGCGTTCCCTGCCCGGGAATCAACTTGGCGACCTTTCGGTGCATGGAGCCACACCAGCCAGGGCTAAAGTGACTTTTTAAAAAAACAGGTGCCTATACCTGCATCTAAGGATTTCTGGTACCAAGAATTAACCAATCAGATGCAATCTTATTATGTGATATGACCAATAAGATATAGCTCTGTTACATGCCCTATATATTTATAGTTCAAGACAGGGCATTCACACTGGACGGTTTTTTGTTTTGTTGGCTGTGGTCGTATTTTTTATCTGACAATCTCAGGGAAAAGAGGTCAGTACCCCTGACGAAATAGTCAGGTGTTGCATGTTTTGAAAATTCTTGCAGCACACCGGCTGAAAATCCCTTCCCTAGAAAGTTGAACATTCACCTGCCTGCAGTTGCGTAAGGGAAGTGAACACATGCTCATGGACGATTGGTACAAAAGTTCACGGCTGCTTTTTCTAAGATCCCACACTGGAAGCAATACAAATGTCCACCTACAGGTAGATAGATAAACAAGTGATAGTATATCCATCCAGAGGAATACCACTCAATAATAGCCGTAATGAGGAGCGAGTCACTGATACCACATCATGGATGAAAATCAAAGCGAATCAGTAGTTGCCCAGGACAAGTGTAGGGATGACAGCGAAAGGGGATCGAGGGGACTTTGGAGTGATGGCAATCTCTGTCTTTGTTGTGCTCTGGACCTTGAGTATAGTCATGGTGGCGCTGGGGTAAAATTTGTCAGAACTCAGCAAACTGTGCACCAAGAATGGCACTCATTATATTCCCCTGGGGGGAGGGCTGCCGCAGTGGTGCCCGTGTGTGCACACGTGCACACATACATAAGCATGTGTTCTCAGACCACTTGCATTCTCATGTTTGCCCATTTGCCTGCCAAGGTTAGGGGGGAATCCCATGCCTTACCCTCCACTTCATTCTGCCCATAGGGCTTCGTAGTCAAGATTGCCCCTCCCCCCACCACCGCCACCAAGAACTGACCCCCTCAGAATGGACAGTGAGGCTGTAGGAATTGATTACCAATGAGCTCATGAGAAGATGGGCGTTGCACCTGCCCCCAAATGCCTGGAGACCAGTAGGATTTTATCTGTGGAGGCTAAAGCTGTGGCCAAACTGGTTTGGGGAATGCTTGGGGGACTTGACCTAAAGCCTCGTTTTTACTGTGGAAGTGTTCCTTTGGCGGGGGTGGGTGTTAGATGGGTCTAAAGTCCTCCTCAAGTTGCCCTTAGGTTCTGCGAAAGTCATGAGTGTTAATCACGTTCTTTTCGTTTAAGGTCTCTTTCTTTTCCTTCTTTCTCATTTATTTCATTATGCCTTTTGCACCTTCCTCCTGAGGTCCAATGTGTTGTTGAAGAATATGGAAGTACTTTCTTTAATTTTCTGGCAAAATACATAGGAAAAGACTCCTGACTTCTTACCTGTATTTCCTCTTGTTCTTCCCCCATCGAAGCTCCCCCTGGTGGTTAAGGAAAATTCCGGGTAAGAGTCCCCTGGGGAGGGGGGACCATACAGCCAGGCCAACTGCGGGTTGTCTAGGGCACTTGCATTCTCAAAGATGGTAGAGAACCTCACTTACGGGGGCGAGGGGTGCATCTCTCCTGGGCCCCGAGATAGGAAAGGGTCCTTTTACAAAGAGGGGAAGGCATCGGCCTTCACAGCACCCCAGGAGCTGCTTGCCCTCCGAGGCTTGCAGGGTGTCGGCAGTACCCCGGAACTGCAGGTTCTGTGTCTTGGCAGCAGGCCCTGTGGGAAACGGTGAGGGCAGGGGCAGCGGGACCCTGGGAGCTGTGAGTGACTGTACCTTTTCCAGTTCATCCTTCAACTAATATGTATTTTAATATCAGTGGGGAGCGATGACTGTTTTAGGGATTTTACCCCAGGAATTGCCAAACAAGTTAATTTACCTGTTTCTCATGCAATGTACTTATTAAAATAAACTTTCGCTCCATTATGCAGCGTGAGTAAGGGGCCTCCTGCAGGTACCACAGAAAAGGCTTGCAGAGTGAGCTCCCTGACTCTCTTTTCTGAGACATTGTCTCCTGGAACCAGCCTCACCTATATTATTAATCACTCGTGGGCTTTCTATTGCTTCCCATTACTCCCTTGGAATTAAACTGCATATATAAAATATGAAAAATGTACTTTCTAAACAGTAAAAAAGTCATTTTCTCGCATAATACCCAAAATAAAGTGCCGTGGAGCCATTAGTAGTAAATTGAATTTTTTGGTATGTAATTTGTACAAAAAGTGACAAGTGAGATCCCCTCTGCCCTCCCACCATTCGTCACGGGGTTAGCGGACACAGAGGTAGTAATCTGCAAGGACAGGCATTTTGATGTCGACTTCAATTGCACACTTCATTTATTTGGACAGGGCACAGGCGGCGGCTTCTGTCACGCGGCATCACCGCACTATTAGCGAATTTCGCCCCAGGGCAGCTGGGACGCTGGGCTGGGGCAGATGTTCTTTTCAGCCTATTCAGTGACCATTCTTGGGGGTTGTTTACTGTTGCCATGGTGACTTTCATTTCCATAGCAGCAGCACTGCTGTTTCTCAGAGGAAAATGAATTTAGTTATAAAAGGATAATATTTTTCTCTGTCTCTCTATAACCTGCCATCTGTCGACCGGTGGATCAGTAAGGATTCAGAAACCTATTAAGAATTAAAGCAATGAAGTGATGAGTATTTTTTTTTTCTTTTTGTCCTATATTAAAAGCAATAATAGATGTGGAAGCAAATGTTGTGCCCTCAACATTATAACTTGAATTTTTTATATGTTTTAAGTGTGAGTTTTTTATACCTCCACCACCACTGTGCACACACACCGTCTTGTAAAACACAATTTACATTCTGCTGACACATGGAAATGACCAAACGTCTTGTTTCTATCTTACTAGATGCAGGTGTATTTAATGCTCTCTCTTCCTGGTGCTGTGCGCTTCCCCAGTTCATTAAAGATTCCTGTGGCTGCACGTCCCATTGTCACCCGGCTCTCCTGCACCCCAGGGGACAGGCCGTGAGGCGGGTGCACACATCAGCAAGTTATCAGGAACATACAGTGCAAATTATGAAACTAGCAAAATGAGAAGAGACCATGCTTTTGTTTCAAACACTCACGAACCTGCCCCTTACATCTCATTCCAGAATACATCCTTCCTCTCACATCCAAGTGGGAAGAACGTCACCTTGGGAATAGCTCATCTAGTTTCTGGATTTTTTTTTTTTTCTCTATTGCATTCATAAACTAACGTGCAGGGGGAAAAGAACCACACGCACACAACCGGCCCCGTTGTAAATAATGTTATTTATTGGTTGATTTTTCCAGATCCTGACATTGATGCTGCCAGTGCCATGATGCTTTTGAATACTCCCCCTGAGATACAAGCAGGTTGTGAGTAGATATTTCTATAGCCTTCAGCACCATAGTTTGTGACCTTAACCTTCTCATTTATATACCAGGCCATAGGAAGAACTAATGCTCAAGTAGAACTTCCCTTGTAGAACCGCTTGAAAACGACCTAAGAGCTCAATCACACACATATGCATAGCAACATGTGGCCATGCATATGTATGAATGAATGCTCAGGTGTGTTTCCAAGATGACAGAGTTCTAGTTCACTTTCAGGGCTTCAGACTTGGGGGAAGGGAAGCAGACTCTATAATGAGTCCCAGTGGAGAGACCTTCTTTGCTCCTGCAGGAATTGTTCCTGTGAGTTTTTGGTTTCTGCTAGAAGACGCTACATGGGGCCAGTTTAACAGCCATGGAGCTGAGCAGTGCCCATTTTTAGCAATTTCTTTCCCTTTTGGGAGCTCATTAATAGCAGGCTCCCACCGTATAGATGGAGAGGAGAGGAAGGTCTGGCTAAGGTGGGTGTCGTGCAGGAGAGTGGACTAGCCTTGAAATGGACCCCATGTCCCCCCGGTGCCATCCCCACCAGCCTCCCAGGCTGGCGTAGAGGGGAGGGCGGGGCTAACTAGCTGGCAGAGCTCCCGTCTTCACCGTCTGAGGTCCGCTGAGCAGTGACAGGCTTGAGACAACTATTTTCCTTCTTTGAACTTCTTTTCTCTCCACCACCTAATGTATTTTTTCCCACGTCTGAGCTAGACCTCCATGGTTTTAGAAAGATCTTCTTACCAAGTGATGAAAAATGACCTTGAATGGGGGTCTCTGTGCCCTCTTCCTCCTGACTCGAGCTCAGTTGCCCTGCCCACGTCCCACCGCAGCCACAACCCTGTTGAGCAGCCAGCCAGCGCGTCCACCAGGGTCTGGCCAGCCCTGCCCAGGACACTGCGCACTGCAGAAACACACGGGCGTGGGGATGACGTCGGAGCTGCAGACCCCACTGCGGCTCCCGGGGCTGGTGCCCACCTGGCTCGTTCTTATGGCCAGGCCTCCACCTCTCTGGGGGCTCTGGCTCTCGAAGGACTGCATGGCCTCCTGAGCCAGGGGAATCTCCCACCTTTGGGGTCATAGTGGTCCCCACAGGAAAGCCTCCAGCCTCAGCCTCACAACAGGCCGTCTTTCATTAATGGCGGACTGATGTGGAGTTCCAGACCGTCCTTCCTGGCCCTGCCCTCGGATGTTTGACTCCATCCTCTCTTACTCATTACTTTTTTTTAAAAGGACCCAAAAGATATAGCCAAGCATTCTCAGGAGGAGCCTGTGCCTCTGCCGGGGGCTGCCCTCACCTGCTCTGCAGGTCCAGAACTCTCGGTCTCTGTCTGCTGCGCTCACATTGCTAGCCATGAGCAGGCTGCTCACACCTCCGAGAAGCACACGCCACCTCTCAGACATGTCACCGGCAGTTAACCTGTAGTGCGGTTTTCCAACGATGTGTGAAGTTATAGAAGAATATTTTTTAAAAACCTCCATTCTCAGATGACATTGCAGGAAGAGTCCAGACCACACTGTAATCAAGTTACAGTCTGAAATGGGTTCTGAATTCAAGTCGGCTCACTCATCATGGGGGACACGGACTGGTGTCATCGGAGCTGTGTGAGATTCTAGTACTTTCCTTAGCATCTGGCCACTGTACACGGTGGCGATTGGTTAAAAAAAAAATACTTTGGATGAGCTGGAAAAATGGAATTAAAAGGGAAAAGACCAGGGGATTGGCCATTAAATGGACACTCAGCAGCTTCCATAAAGTCCCCATCACTGGATTCTTAACCACAGGTAGAACAGGAAGCAGGTTTTTTTGTTTTGTTTTTTTTAATTAGTTGACAAGTTAATGGGTTTTAATATTCTTATGACTAAATGAGCTTCTCCCCGCTCCCCCACTCTAGCACTCAAGCTGTAAATACTAATTTTTTCGGGGTGCCCAAAGCCCCGTTTACTTTGAAATGCTGCGTTTTCGCTTTCAGAGCTCAGTGTCCTGTGTTGAAGCTGTGGGCAAGTTTTTAGAAGGCTCCCTGCCTTGTTCTTACCGCTTCGAGAAACCCAGCGCCGCCTCCGTGAAGGCCTCGCGCCAAGAGGGGGGCCTGGTGCTGGAAAGGAGGGGCCAGGGTGCCCACAGGAGTGGAGAGAGCAGCAGAGAGGCGGGCCACCCCCTGTACATTCACCTTGCCCTCGGCCCCGGGCCTTAGTGAAGACCCCTGGAGACCAGGGTGCGTGTGGTCCGTGGGCTGGGAAGCCCCTAGAGAGCGGAGCGTTGAGTGTCTGCTCTGCACGTGGGAAGCCAGGCTGGCTGCTCCCTGATGAACACAGTCCCTGTGTCTGTGTGTCCACACCCTGCTCTCAGCTCGTCTCTGCTTCCCCCTTCCTCGCCTCCCTTGTTCCCTTGCACAGTGTTCCTCACCCTGGGATTTGATGTGGCACCTTGCCTCTCAAAGGGAGAAGCTTTAGAGACATAAAAGGATGATGCCTTCATCCCTGCCCAGCCAGCTGTGCCCAAGGCCTGGAAGGAGTGAGAGGGGCGTCCTCGGCAAAGAGGTTCAGAGGCAGCAGACACCCAGCCGCCCGATGGTGTGGGCAGCCTGCCCCGCGGTGGCCGTGTGTGCCCATCATCCAGGCTCGGGGGCCCTGCCGCGGCCCCCGCTGGGGAGTGTGGGCTCCCGTCTGCACGCCGCCTGCCTGCATTCTCTTCCTGGCTGGTCTGGGGCCCGGCCGTGTTCACAGAGGCTCCTCGTGTACCACTATTTATAGCCTCTTGTCACCGCTAAGGCTGCCCGTTTGAATGGAGCCACCAACCTAGTCTGCGTGCCGCCGTCCCTCCCAGCTGTAGAGGCCGGCCTGGGTGGCTTGTCGTTGCCCTTCGTGACCACTCCCCTCCAGTCACCAGACGGCTGCCACGTCCGTCTTTCCCTCTCCTCCTGCCCCTGCTCGGTGTCCGCAGAGCTGGCGGGGGGCTGGCAGAGGCCACAGTCCAGAGTCTGAGCTGAGTCGGTCACACAAAGGAAAGGACTCAAGAAGCTGGTGAGAACCCCAGTCCCCAAGCCCCTTGATCTTTGGGGAGTCGCACACTGCCCCAGGGCAGCTCAGCGCACCAGTTATTACTTGAACCGGACTCCCCGGGGGTCCCTCAGCCTCTCGTTGCAGCTGAATGCTCCACTTTCGATGAGACGGCCGTGTGCACCGCATCCAGACCCCGGGCTCCCACATTTGCTCGTGTGCCCTACCCGCAGCAGCACCGGCGGTGCCGGCTGTCAGACCTGGACCGTTTGCAGCGTGGGGGACCTCCGCCCGCGTGCACGGTGCCTCCCATGCTCAGCGGGACACCTGTAGGACTCCAGAAGAACCAGGGCAGAACTTCGCCACGTCATTGTCGCTTCCACTTTGGGTTATGCTGCCAGTCAGATCCACCCAGCTCCCCTCACCCCACCCCAAAGCGGCCGTGTCGACTAATTCCAGCTTCTAGAGTCTTCTTAAGTACCGGCTTTGCAGTCCCATTTGACAAGCCCTGTGAGTCATCTTTCACCCTACTGGGGGAACTGTTTTGAAGCCAAGAGAAGTCAGATCAGTATTACTCATCTTCACAGGCTGATATAATCCCCGGTTGGAATGTTCCCAGCAAGGAACTCCAGATAATAGACAAAACAACAAAATGGGTGCATTCTGCACCCTGCCTGGACCCGGGGCAGAGGGACAGCCGGGAGGTCGCTCCCCCGTGGCAGGCGCTTCCCCAGATCCTTCCAAGTAAGCAGGTGGAGAGGCCGCCTTCAGGAAAAGGGAGGCTTGTCGGATCTCCTGGCTGCTCAGCTATGGCCTCCAGTAGCACGAGCCAGGGCTGCTCTCCAAAGGCCGCAGTGGGAGCTCAGAGGTTAATTTTAGAATGAAAACCAAGGAAGCTAAGCATGGGGGGGGGGGGGCTGGGCTGAGGAAGTGCGGGTGGGGGGTGCACCATGTGGAGGGAAGTTTGTCTGGTGCCATAGGCTTTTTTTAGGTCCTCGAGATGATCACATTCCGATCCCAGCGAGCGGTGCTGCTTGATCGGACTCTCTTTTGGGTACGAGTATTGCTTTCTTGCTGGTTAAAAACAAGAAAGGTTAGAGTCAGTCTGTCTGTTAAGTTGAGAGAACGTGGTTGATCAGCCCAGGTACTGATGTCCTTGGTGCCTGGTTCCACAAGTTGAGAGTCTCAGGTGTGTCTTCTCACCTGTAAATGCCAAATGATGTAACAAAGGGATGGCGCTGGAGCCTTTTCTAGTGAGAGCCACAAACCTGAGCCAGATGTTGTCCAGTTTCTTATCACATCTCTTCTCTGGCTGCAGCCCAGGCCTCAGCTAGTAGGTGTACTGGTTGGAAGGTGCTCGATGTGCTTTGATGACTTTGAGGGGAGTGCAGAGTAAAATGTCGATGGAGCAGAAAGGTCGATGTGCTCATCAAGAAAGAGCCCGGGAATGGACCTCGTGCTCCTTTAGGGTTCCCGAATCGAACATGGACCTCAGGGCGCCCTTCGCGCACAGACTGCCTGTGACTCGTCTTCAGAAGCCGCATCCCCGACACCTGGGGATGGGGACAGAGGAGAAGGGTGGGGAGCAGCTCCGTGTCACAGCTGGTCCCTGGCAGGCGGCGAGCAAGGGCAGACCCTCGGCCGTCCCGCGGCGAAGAGCACTCCAGGAGGAGGGCTGAGCAAGGCCGGGGTTGGCAGAGGCAGCCATCGGTGGCAGCTCGTCTGAGAACGAGCTCCAGGATTTAAAAGAAGCAGCCTGGTTTCCATGCCAGAAGTCTTGTGAGGTTCAGGAAATAGCTCAGGGAAAGCCTTTTGGTGCTGCGGGGTAGCTCCGTCCGGAGACTCTCTTTGGAGTGAATACCATTCGTTAATCAGGAAGCCGTGTGAATGGGTGAATGCAGAGAGGTGATTGCAAACAGCATGAGAGGCTGAGAGGTTCCCTGGGCCCTGACCCCAGGGGGCCTGTGCTGCACAGATCATTGGTAAGAGGATGCTAGACAGGTGAGATGGGGCGGAGGGAGGATGAACATGGTGATGGTGATGATGAGCTTATGTGCTAGGCCAGCCTCTGAGTTAAGCCTATGTAACTTGTCTTATTTAATCCTCAAAACAGTCCTCGGAGGCATAGTGATGCGTAGTTTACAGGTGAAGAAACTGAGGCTCAGAAAGAGTAAAGCGCTTGCCCAAAGCCACAGAGCTCGTGGTGGGCAAGACTCTGGGTGGAGGCTGTGCTGCCCCGAGTGTCCTCTTGCCGGCCGCAGGATACTTCTTGCAGGAAGGCTGAAATGAGACAGGAAGCATCAAAGATTCTGGTCTCCAGTAGGTGCTGGGGCGGGGCTGGCTTCCTCTGTTTCCCTTCCTGGTGGGCAAGCCCCTGTGCCTACAGTTCTAGGCACTCGGGCAGAGGACTCGGCATGGGGCACTGTCCTCGCGGCTGCTTTCTCCCTTAACTGGCAGGTGACTCAGTGGTTATGCCGGAGAACACATCCTCGGTGACCACATCTGCTCTCTCCACGTCCCTGGGCTCCCTGGGCCTTGTCCCAGGGTGACTGACGGGTCATGGACAGGGGGACAGAAGCCGCATAGGAGCCGTTGTTACTCTTGGTAACTCTGTGACCAGGAACATGGCCAAGTCCTTGGCTCGAGTCTCATTTTGCTCTTGTTTTCCTCCTCACCCAAGGATATGTTTTTATTCATTTTAGGGAAAGAGAAGCATTAAGGTAAGAGAGAAACATGGATTGGTTGTCTCCTGTAGGGGCCCCCACTGGGGATCGAACCCGCAACCTTTTGGTTTACGGGACAATGCTGCAGCCAACTGAGCCTCAGCCAGGGCTCATTTCGTTCTTAATGTGCTTTCGGCTCACCTGAAATGGAGACAGCACAGGCCGCCTCAGGATTGCTCTGAGCTGTTGATTGTGTTAGTGATGACAATGATACAGATAACTAACATGTAATTTTCTAAATAATAGTGCCTTTATTAACTCAGTTAAATCTCCAAATACTCTGGGAGATAAATATCAGTTTGGGGCCCGACCTAAAGGAGCTTTATCAGGGGACTCAGGCAGTAAATGACAGAGATGGGATGTGGACCCAGGTCGTCCAATACCAGAGTCTGGCTCTCAGCCCCTGTGCTTAAGACTCATTCCTCCTCGGATGCTTTAATGGTGTTCGCAGATCTGTGGGGTAAAATCCATCTCGTTCCTGCTAGAACTGGATGCTCTACAAAATTGCTTTTTAGTTCCTTTGCATACTGTGTGCCTTTGATCACTTCCAGGCCTTATATGTGTCATTCCTCTGCCTACAGGAAGTCTTCCCAGATACCCCTTAGTTTGGATTAGGTATCTCCCTCCTTCATACCTATAGGCTCCTTGCCCCAGCATTTACCTTAGTGTGTGTGTGTGTGTGTGTGTGTGTGTGTGTGTGTGTAATTTTGTTAAACTTCATCCGAAGATATCTTTCCACTAATTTTTAGATATAGTGGAAGGGGAGGGAGGGGAAAACAGAGAGGGAACATTGATGTGAAAGAGACATCGATTGGTTGCCTCCTGCATGACCCTGACCGGGGCTGGGGATTGAACCTGCAACCCAGGTACGTATCCTTGACCGGGAATCGAACCCGAGACTCTTCGGTCCTCAGGCCAGTGCTCTTAACTGCTGAGCCAAACCAGCCAGGGCTACCTTCGTATATTTTTATCGCCTCTAATTCTTCTTCTGTCCCACTTACTTGTGGTAACCCTGTGTCCCCTTCACCTAATGCGTGGGCAGGGACTTGTAAAAGATTTAGTCCATTAGTTGACATGCTCTGTCTACGGGACTGTAATAATTTATACTGGCAAGAATTATGGCTGTGCAGGTTTTAAATATTTACTTATCGGGTATCCGTTCTGCACTTGCTGCTCTTGATGAGGCCTCTAGTGACTCATCTATTAGGCAGTATTCTCAGGATTAGACTGAATCTGTGGTTATCTGACTGTTTTGAAGAGAGTACCGCACAGCAAAGTAACTGAAAAACCCTTCCCCTCCATCCCCCAGGCAGACAAACAGAAAGCCTGTTCCTTCAGACACAAACATGTTGTCGGGAGTACCGACCTACAACCCTCGAGTTCTGCCAGGTTCACGTGTCTTTCCTTGAGAGTTCTTGGTATACTTTTCCCCTTTATTTTCTTCTCAGTTCTTAGATGTTGGTTCTGACATTTAGATTTATGATCTATTTCTAATTAACTTTCATGTATGGTATGAAGTTAGGATCAAGGTTCACCCCCTCCCCCAAAGGCTCTTCAGTTGTTCTAATTGTCCTTTGCCCCATGTCTTGATGCTTTTGTCGAAAAAACAGTGGACTACGTGGGTGTGGTTCTAGTTCTAGATTTTAGGGTGTTCCATTGACCTCCGTGTCTACACTCACCAATACGACACTGCCTGCCCACTTCAAATACAGGAAGTCTTGGAATCCGAGCATATAAATTAGGTAGTACACATTTTAGACACTCTCACAGAGAACTCATCAACTAAGCAAAGTGTAATTCGCTGCAGTATCACATTATAACAGGTTTCACGCTTTTAAGATGCTTGGTGAGTCTCCTGCCTTAGATGATCTACGATCTGAAATCAGGCTAATAGTAAGTGATGGGCAGGAGTCCTTGATCTCGTTAAGTCTACTCTCACAATTAAATATGGGAAGGAACAGCGCTCATTTCAATTTTATCTCCCACCCTACCTTTTGTAAAACCTGGTAGCACTAGCCTTATGCAAACCTGTACGACAAATGGTACCCATACTAGCAAGAGCTCCAGAACCCAAGGAATCGGTCCAGAAAGTTATCCCCTATTCGAGAGTGGACATTCACCTGACGTGATTAAAGGTTCGGACTATTTATGTAAGCATGCACGTGTTTTGTAAAGAGTATTTGTTGTACACAAATAATATTGGCTTTAAAAAGTTAATATCCAGAGTGGCTTCCATTTTGGAATGTATAATTTTTTTTTTTTGGTGTGGTCTTTGAAAAAGCACAATCCGTTCACCTTAGCTCTGTATGAGACTGTGGCCTGGGCTATAGGAACACAGCCAGAGCTCTGGGGCCTCTCAGGATGCTGACAGCAGAGGGGTCCTCGTGAACACGGTTCAGAGAGGCAAGGAGAGACCGGGGCGTGCGCACAGCTGCACTCGGAGAACTGAGATGAACTGCAGGTGTCCCCGTGTCCCCATCATGAAGCACGCCTGGCCCCTAGACACCTGGGGGCATGCTGGTAGGTGCAGTGAGCATGTTAGCTTGAACCAGGTGAAACTGCTGTCGGGCGGTCAGAGTCGGGTATCTGTTTCCTGTGGTGGCCCTGTACTGTAAACCCTCACCCAGAATCGGGTGGTGTGAAGCCGCTGGGAGTTTGTATGGAAAATGGCAGGTCTGGTGGCCCCCGGCGAGGTTGGCTTAGGGTTGGTTGGAGAAAGAAGCTGGCTTGTTGAGAGGACCCAGGAGATTTGCTTGGGGGAGCCTCCAGAGTGGGGTCTGGGTGACTGAGGCAGAAGCCAGAGCCTGTTGTCTGTGGACCCTTCATTCCCGCGAGCACACGAGGGCCTGTCCTCGGGCAGCGGAGTCTGTGGTGAGGTGAACCGTGCTGTGAGCACCGAGGTGCCGTAGTTTGGAAGATGGCTTTGCTGTTCCTCGGGCTGTCTTCTCCCTTGTTGGACTCAGGACAGATAGAGGTTCTGATCCTCTGAGCGGGACTGGAGAAGCAGGAGGAAATGCTGTTATTTGGGCACCTGCATTCAGCTGTGCCCAGGGTTCCTGAGACCTTGTCAGGGCCTGGCTGGAGGTAGACGCTTCTGTTTAGTAAATGCAGGAACGCGATGTTCCAAGCCCAGTCTCTGAAACGCACCTTTTTAAAACAAACCATCAATAATTTGGTTGTAAGCTATTGGTCTGACTGAATCTTTCTTGAGGTGTGGTATTTTTTCTATCTTTCTGCCTTGATCTCCGTGTGTGTGTGTGCGTGTGCGTGCGTGTGCGTGTGTGCATTGGCCTCTGCTTACTCTCTGTGCCTTTGACTTCTCTCTGCTTTGTGTGTGTGTGTGTGTGTGTGTGTGTGTGTGTGCGCGTGTGCATTGGCCTCTGCTTACTCTCTGTGCCTTTGACTTCTCTCTGCTTTGTGAGTGTGTGTGTGTGTGTGTGTGTGCGCGCGCGCGTGTGCATTGGCCTCTGCTTACTCTCTGTGCCTTTGACTTCTCTCTGCTTTTCTTCTCTCTCTCCCTCCACACTGTCTGACTCAGAAGGAAATTTTCACGGTGGGATTCACGTGTGGTGCCTTTTCCTTTTTGCTTTTCCAGTTCCTCCGGGAGTGATACAGAACGGAGCGCGGGTTCTGAGCCGAGGGCTGTTTCCTGGAGTCCGGCCATTGCCAATCACGCCCATCGGAATGACGGCCACCGGGAGGTAAGGGAGGCGCCTGCTGACGACTGGGAAGGGCACCCGGTGTCCCGAGGGGCCGCTTGCCGGGGTGGAGGGAACCAGACTCCAGGTGCTGAAGGCAATCGGCCTGGTTTGGGTGTTTAAAAATGAAGCCACAGTAACTCCCAGGGACCCAATCCAGTGCCAGCTTCTCCTTCTCAGGCTGTGATCATGCTGGTCTCCCTGTAGATGAGGGGCTGAGGACAGATCACATTATGTCGTGTTTTGTTTTTATGCTAAGAAAGCAGGGTACGGTGGGGGAAGGAAATTCTGACCAAGTTCATCAGGTGCTGGGCTGATGGGTCTGGTCTGGACACGGGCCTCTCTCTGCCCGGTGCCTGACTCGGGTGGATGCCTGACCTCTCTGGGCCTCGGTTCCCTCATCCACAAAGCTCCTCCCATCAGATGCAGACTCGCGTGAGAAGGGCTTAGGTGGTGGTCTGTAAGCACCGGGCGGCGCCCTTTCCCAGCTTCCAGGACTCGGGTCAGTCGCCGAACCAGATGAACGCCCCTGGGGCAGCTCTTTTCCCCTGCCAGCCCCAGGCGAGGGTGCGCTGTGGGCTCGGGACCTTCCGCGGGCCAGCGGGTGCTTGCTCCTGCCTGCCCTGCAGCTCCCCCGCCCCCACCCGCCCTCTGCAGAACCTTCCGGATCTCCATCACGGCACCTGGCACCCCCTGCCCCGTCTCCTGGAGCCAGATTGTTCCCCAAATACGTCCAGGATCTGCCCGTCTTACTCGAGCGTCTTCTTCCGTTGAGATTTCCCTCGGCCTCCTCACGCGGGGCAGCGCCCCCTTCAGGGCCCGTCCCCAACGTGGCTCCCTCACAGACCTTTTCTGAACAGCCTTGACCCAGCATCAGATGACTTTCTCTTTTCTTTGATCCCAGCCCAGGCTTGGGTCGAGTCCCTTTGATGAGTGACCCTGCATGGCAAACTGTCTCCATGTGCCCCGCTGTCCTGAGCGGTCTGCTTGCTGAGACGGGCTGGGCCTCCCTCATTTGGCTGATGGGTCACACTGAGCTGTTTCCGTCACAGCATCAGCTCCTTGCTTCCTTCCTGCACCGGTGGCTTGCGTTCTCACCTGAAGGCCATTTTGTTTTCAGTGTTTCGTGTCCCAAAGGACACTGGCCCAGAAAGTCCCTTAGCTGGGGCCCTTAGGAGATGCAAGGCCCAGCTCTCTCCCGTGAACCAGCCACGTGGAGCTTCTCCACGCTCTCGTGCCTCAGGTTTCCAGCAAACCAGCCGACCTTTGCCAGGATGGAAGGCGCTGGATCGTCAGGGCGGACACTGGTGTCTGGAACCGCACAGGGAGGGAGCTGGGTAGGAATCGGATGAGTCGTAGAACTGTGAAATGCCTCATCCTTTCTGCTAACCCAGCACGATGGCACTTTCTAAAAATACATGGCAAGGGTCTTTTTCTCCAGCACTTGCCCTGCCCTTAGATCCCGAGTTCTTGAGCTCATAAATGGTAAGCCTCTTTCACAAAGCCGAAGCATCGCTGCCTTCTTCTCCCATTGTGAGAGACGTGCTGTGATTTCCATTCCTTCTTCAAATCTGGGCTGCCTCACCTCTCGGCGTACCTGTTTGGTTGAGAAGAGTGTGAGAGCGTGGACAGTTTTCCCGTGGGGCAAAAATCTGTTTCCGCCTGCAGAGTCTAAGCCTAGACTCCCAGTGTGTCACCCAGAGCACGTCTCGGGGCCTCCCAGTGTAGCCGTCCACGCAGGTCCCCCGTGCACTGGCACGGAAGCACCAAGCGGGGAGGTGGGGAGTCCTGGGACCGGTTGGCGTCAGCAGGAGCTACCTTCTCATTTTAATGATTACCCTCGTGACATATATTATTGCAAATTTTACTGATCAATGCCCTCTTGAAGCAGTATTTAAAATACTGGTTCCTATTCTTCCTGGTTAGAAGATAACACAGTACCACAGTGAAAGAGTGAAGTCGTGTTTCTGGTTAAAAACACGTTGCCACTCATCCAGGCCAGTGAGCACTTCACTTTGTGTGTCAGAGACGGCACAGCAGGTGACAGGTCCTGAGACAGACGGGCTTTCCTGGACAGAACCGGTAACCAGGCACAGAGTTGACCAACCCCAAGGGTGAAAAGACAGCTCAAGGTATCGTGGAGGGAGTGTTTGCAGAGGGCAGCCGCCTCCCCTGAGCCAGGGAACCAGGACGTGGTTGGGATGATGCCCTCCCTGAGCTGGAACTCAGACTGAGGGGCACCACTCAGCCGGGCTGGAGGGTCTGAGCTCAGAGGGACACCTGGAAGGACCCCAGGGCTCCTGCTGATGCCGGCGCCTCTCGAGGAACGTGGAGAAGTCGGCTGTCCAGTGCTGGAGAACCGGAGTGGACGCGGCAGCTGCTACAGGAATGGATTGCCACTGCGGGGAGGAGGGGGCCTTGCTGGGTGGGGAGGGACAGGAAACACACAGGAAGGAGCCAGTCCCTTCGTCCCCTTTCCCGGTCACTCTCTGGCGCCCCCTGTTGTCCGAGCTTATGTGGACCAGGTGGCAGCAGACGTGGGTGGCCCTGCCCAGCCCCAGTTCCTTCGTAGGACACACTATGGAAGGGCGGCTTTGGGGCTGAGTGACAATAGCGGTGCAACTTGCTCAAAGCCTGCCCACTACCAAGGCACGCGTTGTCTAAGCAGGGCCTGTGATCATAGGAGTTTGGAGAAGAATCATTTCCATCAAATATCCAACCACAGTTGACAGAAACTAGAACAGTCACCACTGGCATGGAGATACCAGTTAAAGAAAACCACTGTGCATTTCCAGTACACCATCCAAATTCTGCGCCTCCCACCCCAGCTTTAAGAGAAATTGGTCAGAGATGCATTGCGAGCTCTGTAAGGTCAAGGACCTTTGCTATTAATACCTTTGCCCTCTTTATGTCCCCAATGCCTGTCAAATAGTAGGCAATGAGATGCTTTTAGAACAAAATGAACATATACATGGCTACATAGATATTTGAAGAATCTCCATCTATGTAAAACTCATTAAGAAGTGTTTGGGGCCCTGGCCAGTTTGGTTCAGCGGTTAGAGCGTCGACCTGTAGTCCAGAGAGACCCGGGTTCGGTTCCTGCTAAGGACACGTACCTCGGGTGCAGTTTGTCCCCAGCCCTGGTTGGTCGTGCGGGTGGCAGTCACTCGATGTGTCCCTTTCATGTCGATGTTTTTCTCTCTCTCTCTCTCTCTTCCTCTTTCTCCCTCCCACTCTATCTGAACAAAAAAATGGAAAAAAATGCCAATGGGTGAGGACAAAAAAAAAGAAGTGTTTGGGGGAGCCCTGGCTGGTGTGGCTCAGTTGATTGGGCGTCATCCCATGCACCAGGAGGTTGCCAGTTCGATTCCTGGTCAAGGGCACATCGTGCTCCAGTTGTGGGCTCGATCCCCAGTAGGGGGTGTGCAGGAGGCAGCTGATTGATATACTCTCACATAGACGTTTCTCTCTCTCCCTTTCCCTTCTTCTCTCTGGAAAACAATCAATAAGCTACTCTTTTTTTTTTTTTTAAAAGAAATGTTTGGGGAGAAAATCTTGTTTGGCTCTTTCACATTCATTGTAATTTAAGTTTCTTTTCCGTTTGGCCAGGTGTCAGTAGAACCAGATTCAGCTGAGGTTAGAAGGAAAACAGTCTAACAGAGAATACAGCAGCAGCAGATGTCTTCCTTCAGGCCACGTGGTGGTGACCAAGGGTGCCTGGGGTGTGTACATGTTTACGTGGGTTGTGGGTCATGGGTCACTGTCCCTGTCAGTTCAGCTGGGACTAAGGGAGGGCCAGAGAGTCATTAGCACCCACTAAAGACCGATTTTGTACTCTGCTTCGTGTGACAGGTCTTCTGTGTAAGACTAAGCGACTTCTCCTTAAGTGAAAATATTTGTCTTTCAGGGATTTTTTTTTCCCCCTCCACTCAGTGGCAAAGGCTATGTTTGTTTGTCTTAACTCTGAAACCATTATTGACATAGATGAAGTGTTACTTTTATTAGCTGATCATTACACAGCTTGTATTTGCTGGGTTCCTTTGCATATAATTATGATGTGAAATCTCCTTGTAAGAGTATCTGTCAATAGTGTAATTGACTTTACAGTGTTGACTTTTTACTCAATAACCTTGGAGATTGGCCCATCCTTACACGTTGAAAACCTGCTTATTTTTAAATCTGCCTGGGCGTAGGGTCCTCAAGACACATTATTCTCAAAACAACTGCTCACACGTCTTGAAGTTTTATGCCTGTGTCTTCTGGTGCTTTCCCAGTGAAATCGTACAGAGAATGATTGAATGGACCGGACAGCTGCGGCCCCAGAACAACTGTCCCTGACGCTCTCGGAAACGGGAGCCCCAGGTTTCTTACATTCACAGCATTATAGGCTGCCTCCCAGGTGGGGCCCTGGATCGGGTCCGCCTTGCTTTCAACTATTGGGGTTCTTTTTGACCCCAAGTAACCTCTCAGGTGGCAGAGAAGAATGAACTCTCCAGGACCTGCCAGAGGAATCAGAGAGAACTGACGGGTCTGAGGTTCGTTACAGGACCGCAGAGCCCAGAAATTGCACCCACGAGCTGGAGCACCAGATTTCCTGGGTTCGTAGCCCACGGTGTTGTGACCTTAGGCAAGTGTACCTGGGAAAATCAGCACCTGCCTCATAGGCTGTTAGGGTTGACAGTGAGGTGCCTGGAACATAGTATGTATTATGCAGGTGTTTGAGAACTAGGGTGGAAAAACAACCCGATTCAGAAATGGGCAAAGAACTTGAGTAGACATTTCTCCAGAGAAAATATGCAGATGTCCAGTAAATTAGTACATGAAAAGATGCTTAACATTTCTAACCATTAGGGAAATTCAAACTAAAACTACGGTGAGATACTACCGCACACCCATTAGAATGGGTACTATTAAAATAATTAAATAGTCCGGCTGGTGTGACTCAGTGGATTGAGTGCCATCCCATGGACTTAGAGGTCTCGGTTCGATACCCTGTCAGGACA